TGACCCATATGTTCTAGCAGCTGCTGCTCTACCAAGACCCCTGGTATTCAGCCTTGAGGACCATGCTGGGATCCTGGACTTTCTGCCATCTACCCATGAGCACTGGGGCCATGCCCTTTGGAGAGTGTCCCTAGGGAAAGGGGATAGGAAAAGGTTAGGAAGTTGGATCCGCCTGTCTCCAGCCATCATGGACCTGTCCACCATATTCCACCCTCGGCTAGATGCTGGAGTTGTCCTTCATGCTTGTTTTGCGAATGTTGCGAAATCATTAAAGTGTATGGCTGGGAGACTTCTGAGTGGTTACCATTCTTTGCTTTTAGAATTGAAATGAATTCAACAAGCATTTATTGAAAATTTGTATGACAAACACCACTAGGCACAAAGATAAGTAAGATAGTACTTAACTCCAAGCAGGTTCTGGGTGAGTAAACTCACATGTATACAGTTAACAGGTTTCTCTTCCTCTAGTTGCTCTCTAGATGTTGCTGGTCCCCAGGGCTTCGACCAGGTTATCACTATTGGCCCCACCTATAGGGTTATGACTCTCAGTGCTATATCCATAGCCCTGACCATTCCCCAAACCCAAGACTCATGTATTCAACTGCTTCCTTACCAAATCCACTTGGACATCCAATTGGTATCTCAAACCTAACCTAACTAATACAGAGGTCTTTTTTACTAGTTCCTCAAAAACCTTATCCTCCCCAAGTTTTCCCATATCAATAAACGGCACCAGCACATGCCCAGTTATTCCAGATCTAAGCTTAGAAATCATCCTTTTTTTTTTTTTTTTTAATCCCTTATTTCCCTTATCCGGTCCACTAGGAAGTCTGGTTTGTTTTACCTATAAAATATGTCTCACTTTGGTCAATTTCTCTCAAACCCCTATGGTGCTGTCACAACACAGAGGAAAGGGCAGTTTGGGAAAAGCTTCCCAGTCACTTCCTGGCCATATCGTCATCTTGAATGAAGAATGGGCTTTTCTAACTGGAGATACTCAAATGGCAGAGGAAGGAACTTGAGAAAAACATGGAGCCACACAACTGACGTATGTAGAGAAGGCTGTGAACTGGGAGAAGAGAGACTGGGGTTAGATTTCACAGGCTCCTGAATAATCGATGATTAAATTTAATTCATAATGATTAGATTTCATTATGTAGAAATGGAGAAACATAGCAGCCTTTGCATATAAGTGTAATAATAATAAAAGCTCACAGTAACTGATTGCCATGAGCCTGTCATTGGATTCAGCAATTAAAATACTGCTCTCATCTAATCCTCACTAAAAATAGGGGGGGAAATAAAATGATTCACAGAAAGATTAAGTAACTTGCCTAAGAGGACTGAGTGGAAAGCTGGTGAGGCCCAGATTCAAATCCAGGCAGTCTGAAACTGAGACCCAAGGTGTATACCCTGGGCTAGCCTGCCTCATATTTGAGTTTTAGAAAGGTAGCTCCAGCAGTGTGATGGAGGATGAGTTACTAAGGAGGGAGAGACTGGAGGCAGGAAATTAGTGAGTCTGCTTCAATGGTCCAGGCGAGAAATAATGCAGCCCTGAATGGGGCCATGGCCATGGGGATGAAAAAGGAGGTGGCAGCTCTGTCACATGGAGACTTTGATGGAATCACGTCCTACTTTTAAACATTACATTCTTCTGTCCCATTGTAAATAACGAGTACCAGCTCTCTGTCATTGCTTGCAGCAAGAATGTGCAAAGCAACAGCCATATTTTACATTTTAATTTATAATCCTTTCCAAAAAATATAAAATATGTGCCTGACTTCACATATTTTTAGTCTGGGAATTATTGTGAACTTCATCCCATAAAAGCTGGAAAAAAGAATAGGATTAATAAATTAGACATGTTCAGGAGAGAAAAAAGCATCATAGGAATTTGAGGATGGAATCAATTTATAGATACCTTAAGGTAAGCAGCTGTTCATACTATGGCCCTACATACCCCTCTGTTGGGAGAGCAACTTTCCAAAGTCTTTTCCAGTTGTGACGGGTGCCTGACAATCTCATGATTCTCATATATAATTTCACTAAAATGCTTCTGTTGCTTTGTGCTGCCCCCTCCCCGTTTTGGACAGCTTTATTGAGGTATAATTCACATATCATAAAATTCATAACTCAGTTTTTTAGCATATTTACAAGGTTGCACAACCATTACCACAATCAATTTTAGAACTTTTCATCATGCCAAAGAGAAAACCCATATCTATTAGCAGTCATTTCCCATTGCCCACCAAACTCTCCCAACCCAGGCAATCACTAATTCACTTTTTCTCTCTATAGATTTGTCTATTCTGGATATTTTGTATAAATGGAATCATACAATATGTGGATTTTTTTTATTAACTGGCTTCTTCTACTTCAAAAGAGTCACCCATAATATAGCATGTATCAATATTTCATTTCTTTTTATTGCTGAATAATATTCCATTGTATGGTTGAAACTGAATTTTATTTATCCCTTCATCAGTTGATGGGCACTTGTGCTGCCTTTCCTTAAGCAGTTTGAGGTCAGCCTTCAAGAAAGGCTGCCACATGCAGAGGGACACCACCCCTCAAAGGAGCATGCTCCAGAGCATAAAGGAGAGCTTGAAGGGATCACTGCACACAGATGGAATGTTTCTGGGCCACCCTCAGAGCCCCTGTCACTGATAACATCTGATGTAGCAGATGATCTGGAGGAGAGACAGAAGCCTTGTTCAACTAAGGGCCAATCCTGGTGGGGGTGGGTGGGCAGGGGGAGACGGCTTCATAACTTAAAAAAACTTGAAGGAATTTTAAGTGATCCCTAGGTTTCCAGCTCTTAGCTGCAATGATGGTAGTGCTAGCCTCAGGCAATGCGGTGAGGTACCAAAGGTGAGAATTTTAGCTTATCCTCTGGTCCTACCCTGTCCTTAATCAGATACCTCCCATAGCCACCAAGGCTGAATTTCTCTGCAACCAAGTCTCTGATAAAGATGCCAGAAAATTTAGAGACAGGCTCTCAGGAGCAACTGCATCTTAAAATAAGGACCACTGCTCGAGAGCAAATCTTAATGTAGGAATATATTATCAGTGGAAGAGTTATAGTCATCATTCATTCATTCAGTAGACATTTATTGAGGAGGAAATACAGTGTAGTGTTAA